CATCTGTTCAATGTGCAGCAGCAGTCAAAAAAGCAAACAGTATGTTAGGAATAATTTAAAGGGATAGAGAAAAAGACAGAGAATATCTTATTGATTCAGTATAAATCCATAGTATGCTCACATCCTGAATACAGATGTGGCTGCCTTATCACAAATAATATATCTTAACTCTGGAAAAGGTTCAGAAAAGGGCAACAAAAACAATTAGGGTTTTGAAATGGGTCCCATATGGTGAGAGATTAAAAAGACTGGGACTTTTCAGCTTAGAAAAGAGGAGACCAAGGGGGAATTTGATAGAGGTCTATAAAATAATGACAGAATGGAGAAAGTGAGTAAGGAAAAGTTATTTACTTGTTCCCATAAGAACTAGGGATCACCAAATGAAATTAATAGGTACCAGGTTTAAAATAAACAAAAGGAAGTTTTTTTTCCTTTATGCAGCATAGTGTCAACCTGTGGAACTCCTTGTCATAAGATCTTGTGAATACCAGGACTTTGACAGCATTAAAAAAAGAACAAGATAAATTTATGGAGGTTGGGTCCATCAATGACTATTAGCCAGGATAGGTAGGAATGGCATCCCTAGCGTCTGTTTGTCAGAGGCTGGAAATTGATGACAGGAGAGGGATCACTTGATGATTACTTGTTCTGTTCACTACCTCTGGAGCATCTGGTATTGGCCATGGTCAGCAGAAAGGATACTGGGTTAGATGGACCTTTGATCTGACACAGTATGGCTATTCTTATAGGCTACGTCTACACTGGCATGATTTTCTGGAAATGCTTTTAACGGAAAAGGTTTTCCGTTAAAAGTATTTCCGGAAAAGCGCGTCTAGATTGGCAGGACGCTTTTCCGGAAAAGCACTTTTTCCGGAAAAGCGTCCGTGGCCAATCTAGACACGCTTTTCCGCAAAAAAGCCCCGATCGTCATTTTCGCGATCGGGGCTTTTTTGCGGAAAACACTACTGTGCTGTCTACACTGGCCCTTTTCCAGAACAGTTTTCCAGAAAAAGACTTTTGCCCGAATGGGAGCAGCATAGTTTTTCCCGGAAAAGCACTGATGATTTTAAATTAGATCGTCAGTGCTTTTCCGGAAATTCAAGCGGCCAGTGTAGACAGCTGACAAGTTTTTCCGGAAAAGCGGCTGATTTTCCAGAATAACTTGCCAGTGTAGACACAGCCAGATAGTTTAGATGTCAGAAGAATCATTTTATCCTTGTTTATTAAGGTCAACATTCAAGAACAGTCTGCCCATTTTTTGTTTCCTCCTGTAAAACTCTGAAGAGCAGCTGAAGGACTAGTAAAAAAAAAAGAGTAGTTCTATAGCACCTTAGAGACTAAGAAAAATACATATATGTTATCATGAATTTTTGTGGGCAACACCCACTTCCTCAGATGAGCAGAGTGATGAAAAAAAGGGAAAACCTCACAATATATAAGAGAAAAAGAAGGGAGAGAAAGGGGGGGGGGGAAATACCTGACAGTTCTAGTGCCAGTGCCAATAAGGTTAATTGAGTGGTTGGAAGTGTCCCATATTTAGCTTTTGATGTCCACTGGATATTGAATATAATGGCCCATCCAGTTCATGTCTTTGTTCAGGCCATGAGAAACCGTGTCAAATTTGCACATGAAGACCAATTCTGAAGTTTCAATCAGTAGTTCATTTTTTTAAATCCCTTTGTAGAAGAATGGATACGTCTAAATCCATTAATGAGTGCCCAGGTAGGTTAAAATATGCTCCTTTAGATTTTTGTGCATTACCATTTCTGATATCTGACTTGGGTCCATTTAACCTTTGTCATAGAGTCTGTCCAGTTTGGCCAATATACATGGCAGAGAGGCATTGGACATTGCCAGCATTTGATAGCATGAATAGGGTTGCCAGGTCTCCAGTTTTGAACCAGACAGTCCAGTATTTGAGCTTTCTGTTCGGGGAAACAAGTTGAGAAAATATAAATGTCCGGTATTTTCTAAATAAGATGTAATGTAGATTGTGATGTCTTGTCAAGTGTGTCCGGTATTTTTGTTGAAACCATCTGGCAACCCTAAGCATGAAATCTCATGATGCTATATATATTTGTGTTAGTCTCTAAGGCCACATTTCTCAAACTGTGGGTCCCAACCCCCAGGGGGGTCACAAGCAACTTAGAGGGGGGTCGTGGTGTCACAAAGTTTGAGAACCCCTGCTCTAAGGTGCTACAGGACTACTAGTTTTTGCAAGTTACACATTAAGGCTACGTCTAGACTACAAGCCTCTTTCAAAAGAGGCTTTTTAGAAAGAATCTTTTGAAAAAGCCTCTTTCAAAAGAGAGCATCTAGACTGCAACCAGTATTTTCAAAAGAGCCGTTTTTTCGAAAAAGCACCCACGCAGCCTGGATGCTGTCTTTGTAAAAAGCACTGTTTGCGTTAAATAACACCTTTTGTCAAAAGAGCACTTTCGAAAAAAGGCATCATTCCTCGTAAAATGAGGTTTTCCCTGGTCAAAAAAACTGCCACGTTCTTTCAATTTAATTTCAAAAGAACGTGGCAGCAGAGTAGACACAGGTGAAGATTTTTCAAAAAAAGCCACTTTTAAAAAAAACCCTGTAATTTAGACACATCCTAACATGGCTACCCCTCTCAGACTTTGTGCTTTTGCACCTTTCATTCCATTTGTGCTTACAAGGCTTATCCTTCTCTAGAGATTATAAAAAGTTTATATTTTACATTTGTAATATAAACTTTTTACAGTCTCTAGAGGTACACAAGCCTTGTAAGCACAAATGGAATGAAAGGTGCAAAAGCACAACCTTAAGCTCTAAATAGACTTTTACAGTACAATCCCTGCTGTCATGTAGTCAGTCTAACCCCACTGCACTACTCCATTCTGCAGTTCAGCCCACTGACTCATGCCTCAAAACTTCAACTCCAAACTAAGTATTTCCTTACACCGCAAATGCAGCCTCCTGACCCATATTTAAACACTGATCTACTGATCTTTTGCGCAAGAGCGTCTATGGCAGTGTGAATGCTCTCGTGCACAAGAAAGCTCTGATGGCCATTTTAGCCATAGGGGATTCTTGCGTAAGACATTCATGTTGCCTGTCTATACTGCCCTCTTGCGCAAGAGCTCTTACACAAGAGAGCTTATTCCTCATGGGGAGAAGAATAACTCTTCCGGAAGAAGCCCTGTTTTTCGACGCTGTACTATACATTTACTTGCACAAGAACACGTGTGCAGTATAGACACCCGGCAAGGTTTTGTGCAAGAACAATATTCTTGCACAAGAAGCTGCCAGTATATGGTACATCACTACATCACTATGGTACATCACTACACAAAACACAACAGGGAAATATTCATAAAGGTAGCTAGAATTTTTTTTAAAAATCTACCTTGTCTAGTCTCCCAAAAGGTGTTGTTATTATTTATATTACTGTAGTGATTAGAGACCACAGTCATGAACAAGCACTCCATTGTGCTGGGTGCTGTACAAACAAAACCAAAACAACTGTCTACAGTATCCAAAAAAGTCTTTTAAATACTCTTGTCTAAACAACAGTACGTATTTCAGTATTACAGTATGAGAGCAGTGTTTTTGCCTGTTCATAATGTCTCTATCATTTTCCTCTTTCTCCAGTCAGCTTTGTATTGCTATTGTATTATATATCCTACTAGTCTCTCAACTTGTTGTTTCTCCACTGACTTTAGATGAACTCCTTTTAGGGTCTGTTAGCCTTTGAAAAATTAAGAACAAGGAATGTCTCTTACAAAGCTAGTAGAGTAGATGGTGACTTATCAAAGAAGAATTGGAACTGCTTTGAAATTAACACATTATATTCATACACAGTTAAAACATTTTATATGTGATTGGAGGTTTACTGTCCAAATTATTAAAAGATATTTCACTCATTAAATAAACAAGATTTTCTGGTCCGAGCAGAAGATAACAGTGCAATTTCTTCCATCCTGAAGGTTGGGGATTTTTTTTTTATTAAAAAGACTCAATTAAAATGGAAGAACATGAATGAATTCATCTGGATCATTGCTATTATAATGAATCATTAACACACCAATAAAAAATTTATTATGATGAATAATATATTCAGACTGATGAGACATGGAAAATAAAGCATTACTCTGCAATGTATGGAAGAAATATTTGTAATGATAAAATGATACTGTTGGTGGGCTAAAACAAAATAAAAATGTAAAAAGCAGACCCTCGTTGACAAAAATTCCTTCTGGCGATTTTACTTCCTTCAACATTTATACTTGAGTTGGAAAAAAAATATACATAAAAATGGTAACACATGCTACTTAATATCAAGCACTAAAACTTTGTTAAACACAGACTAAAAGCAGCTCTCCAAGGTCCTCCCTTATAAATGGCTCTTCTGAATTTCTGAGAGATTCAATCTTGCACAACTATACATGAGTGTATCGCAATGTGTGAACACTGATTTGTTGACAGCAACCGTCATCAATATATTTCTCATCATTGCCATATTATGTAAAATATTATAGAAAGTCATTACATAGCTTAGATATAACCTATTTAATATGCACCAAGATTGTGCACCTTGTCATGTAAGAGATTCAAACAATTATCCCAAGGCCAACGGCATAAAATAAATCCCTCTTATATCACATACACCCACTGATGTGATAAATTCCCTCTGGCAACCCTCAGGGCAACACTAAAAAAGTTTCTTTGCCCTGCAGCACACCGAATGAATGCCCTGGTGAACTGCAGGAAGGAGCAAAGTCCTGAGATGCGCGTTCTCTGCCAGCTGAGCTTCAAGGGTAACCCCAAGAGTATATTGCAAATTAATCCAGCCTGCAACTGTCATGAGGGATTAAATCCTTCGTGATATATTTGGGGATTTATTTGACTTGCCCATGCCTTTGGGTAACTTGTTTACTGTATGTCACAGCAAGCAATGTTGTACCAACAAGAAGTCTTCTGCTTTGTTAATGACATTACAAATAGTGCTACATTCAGACAGCTTGTTATACCTTAGAATTTGAAGTGGATTCCAAAAAACAGAGCCTGTTGCCAAATCCTTCTGCAGCAAGACACAGTTTCTGTTGTTCCTTGTGAATAGTTGCAGTGCACTGCAGAACCACTTCATCATCCTACCAAGAAAGAGAGACAAACATTGAACAGAGTTATAGTTTTAATCCTACAGGACATCAGGAAGCATTTACAAAGGCAAAGCTAAAAATTAGAAGCAATCAGCCATGAACAACAACAAAAGTGAATCCCAGCGTAGCTTTCATTTACTGAAGGGAAGAATTGGATAATTCAGATAAAAATCACCACAATAATGTGGTAAGAGGTGTGATCTTTGGTTTTATCATACTGAACAGCACGTCTATTAAAACTGATTTTTGTTTAAGGATAGATAAAATAATTAGAGTGATCCAATGTTTACCTACTACAATGGCTGGATGTAGGTAGACATGTGCTGCTTACAAGATAGTTTTAACTAACCAAATGATATATCTGTATGTAACCATGTAATAACATCTAGAGAAGAGTCACTTCAACGTATATTGAACTCACAAGGAGAGCAGAACTGGAGTGGGACGAATGAAAATTATATCCACTTCTCTCCTCATTTTTCACTCCTTTGCAAAGGAAGGTTGTACATTCACTGTGTGAAGCCAAGAACTTTTCATCCTTGACATCAGTCTATGGATTTCCAGAGCCTGTTACTAATGCATTTTCCACAATTGCTTGTCAGTGACAAGTCAGGAACTTGGGAAATATCTTATTGCCCAGAAATAAAGTCTCAGTATAGTAGCAAATTAACTGCACATGTAAAGGACCTGAAAGAGTAAGTATCTAGAAACTAGTACCTTTTGTCCAAATGAACTGTCCTTACACCTCTCTCTCTTTTACATATACACA